GCATATATAAACCACTGATTGACATGTGATGCTAAAATTAAACATCAAATCCTGCAATAATTCAAACCCAAGAGACCCCATTATATAAGATAAGTTTAATGCTGCCTGACATGCTTCATGGGAAAGATGCATCCTCTGCTGTATTTGGCAAGTATATTACAGATGCAGTAACATCAAACTGTCACAGGAAGTAAAGATGCAAACAGCCCATAATGTCATAAAGAGCAGATGAGGAAAATGTGAGCTCTACTGTAATCATCGACTTTACAAGGACAGGTATAAATTACATACATAAACCTATCAAGTTAGATGGCCCCTTACTGCAGCTACTGTATGGTATATAGAGTATAGAGATTGTAGAAGGTTCTAAGTATTTTATCTCAATGTGCAACCTGAATATCTAATTTCAATTTATCTTTTCACCTGAGTTGAAAAGATAATGTCGTTTCAGTGTTTTACGGCACTATTAATGATGCCTTTGTTTAATCTCTGTTTTATTGTTACTTTCTGAGTGGTTGGTGTTTACACTCACTCATGCAAACTGACAAAAGTCACACTTCACATGAACTCAAATAATGCTTTTTTTTAAAGCTGTATAATTAAATCTATTACTGTCCATAAAGGTGGTGTGATTTGCTAAATTAAGCTCTGGGGGACTTTGTACATACATTCCCGATGAAAACTGTGCAACAGCAGCCATCAATAATACAGCTTCACTTCAACAGTAGTTTCATGTCCTTGGTATCAAATATTCAGCACTCTGTATGTGGCTGTATTGGAGGAAATGGATAAGATACAAGACAGTTCAACAAGAATGTAAATACAGGAAGAGTGATGCCAGCAAAAGACTGTATACTTTTTAAAAAATCCACAGAAATACTAGCCTAAAATAATTTTACCTCAGTTTAGGTGTACTGGGCACACATAAGTTGTGTATTATGAATACATGCTGTTTTTGACCAGTTACCAGAAAGTTTCTTCATGGGATGCTAGTTTGTAAAAAATGATGATAATGAGCTCTAATGTGCGTAATCGACCTGTGGTGGGGTAGGAAATGTGCAGGGGCAAAAAAAAGAAAATTTGCCCTCAAAGTAATCTAACTCAGCTGTAACAATGTGTTTTGTTCTGTGGACTTTAGTGTGACATTGCCATTCACGCGCTCATTCTTTTTACAGTTTCCTGTAATAAGATACAGGTAGTGTAGCTGTGGCACCAGCAAGCTTGTGGTCATATTACAGACTGACAGCAACATTACAACACCGATAGAGGTAACCCTAAGGTCGTGGAATGTCAGTGAAGGGCAATTGTTTCTTTTAAAGGATTCATTTAATTATGGTCCTTCCACTGTGGAAAAAAGAATTGATCCATTTTTTAATTGATCAAAACTACAGAAGATCAGCAGTTATTTGCTGAAACTTAATGTAGTTCTTAAGGTTTAAATGATTAAAAGAGGTCCATTTAACATCCCGTAATTGGCAGTTCAGTGGTGAAATCACGGTCAAAAATCACATGATTACTCACAAGTGAGATATCTGAACACTAGCCAGAAAGAAAGCATCCTCTACCTCGTTTCTTTGTTTTGTTTTTTTAAATTAAATTAATTAAATATATTGCGTTTTACTTCATCTCAAGTCTTTTTTTTTCTCTTTTTCATTAACTTGTGAAGCGCTTTGGTCAACTTTGCTGCTTTTAAATGTATAAAAATACAAATGACACTGAATTGGCATTGACATATTTTGAATAAGAATGTCCAAATAGTCAATAAATTGCTTTTTAAATGTGTCTACACTTTTCTTGTGACCTTCAGGGGAAACCCAGACAAGTGTGACATATGGGGGAACACGCCGCTCCACTTGGCAGCTGCCAATGGTCACCTCAACTGCCTTTTCTTCCTGGTGTCTTTTGGTGCCAACATATGGTGCTTGGACAATGACTACCATACACCTTTGGACATGGCTGCCACGAAGAATCACATGGATTGTGTACGCTACCTGGATTCCATCGCTGCCAAGCAGACAAGCCTTAATCCCAAGCTGGTCAGCAAGCTGAAGGATCGGGCGTTTCGTGATGCTGAACGGCGAATCAAAGAATGCATGAAGATGCAGAAGAAGCACCACAAACGTATGGAGAGAAAGTTTTACAAGGAAGTTTCTGAGACATCTGCATCAGATGTCATGAGTTTCTCCAGCTACACGAGCAGCTCTCTTAGCCACAAGCTGCTCAACTTAAACACAGCCACTGTCAGTGTGCCATATTCCCAGGTTTGTTATTTGTAATTTGGGTTTTTTTGTTGTTTTTTTGGATTGTTGCCACCTAGAAAGAGCTTCTTCTCTTAATTGCAAAGCCTGAAAAGAGTAAGGAAAACCTTACATGGTCACTGTTAAAATGCCAACAAGCTGATGTTCCTCATGTGAGCAGTAGTCAATACTTAAGCAGGCCTAGCGGGTTTGGTCAAACCTGTCTTATGTCCTTCTGAGTTTCAGGCCTTGCCTTAGATGTAGAGTCCCAAAATGTCGGCTAAATCATTTAAAAAATGAATCTGTCCCTACGTCACTCAACCTTTTAAATACTAGTTTTAGATTACATTCGATTACTAGAATTTAGTTCTCAACTCTATATGTTTTCATGCTTTTCCAGGCCTTTCCTTGCCACTGGCTTGAACTGCTGCTATACCTGTTTAGCCACAGACAAAATATGTTACACTTTATAAGGCATAAGCCACTTCAAGTGGTGAAAGACTATAAACTGTATGTAAAAGATGGATGTAACCACCATGAAGTCTTCTGCTTTTTGATTCCTCATCGTGAGCATTTTGACTCCTGCCACGTTGGTGCTTTGTAGCCAGAAATGATTGTATATGAACAAGATAGTGTGCTAAAAAAATATGTAGCAAGCTTGGTTAGCTGCCACTTTAAACTGGACAGGTGCAATGTGCATGCCTACTAATTGGTGACAAACTGATATAATTCTAGAGTATCTTGAAAAAAAATGACAAACTTCTTGGCTCGTCTGTACCTCCAAAATGTTGTCTTCAGATTTTTTCATGAAAAACCTTCAAAAACCAGCAACAACACAGGTGAAGAAAACCAGACAGCTAGCTACCCCACCTGTCTGTTAAGTTGCCACATCCCTAACTTTAAGTCTTAACAGTGTTTAGATCAGGGGTGGGCAACTCCGGGCCTCGAGGGCCGGTGTCCCTGCAGGTTTTAGATGTGTCCTTGAACCAACACAGCTGATTTAAATGGCTAAATTAGCTCCTCAACATCTCCTGCAGTTCTCCAAAGGCCTGGTAACGAACTAATCATGTGATTCAGGTGTGTTGACCCAAGGTGAGATCTAAAACCTGCAGGAACACCGGCCCTCGAGGCCTGGAATTGCCCACCCCTGATCTAGATGGATTACTTATGGATGGATTGGTGAAACTGTGCAAAAGTTCATGATAATCCATTCAAAGATGTCAAGACATATAAGTAAAATTAATGTATTGCTTTGGGGAAAGTTATCGGTAGTAAATACAATGACAGTCAATGACAGCACATCCAAGAATTCAAAACACATATACCAAGAAAGGATGGCAACAGTGTGAAAAATATCTACCATAAATAAATCAATTAAAATATGTTACTACTAATGCAAGATAGACACAAAATTTAAGAATATATGTCTCAAATCTGAAAGAGCTTTTAAGATGGAGTATTTCATTTCTGATGTGCGCCTCATTGCTGCATGCTTACTATCCTATCAGGCAACTCTCCATGCCACAAGCCGAGGGAAGACAAAGATCCAGAAGAAGCTGGAGAAGAAAAAACAAGGAGATGGCACCTTTAAAATCTACGAAGATGGTAGGAAAAGTGTGCGCTCCCTCTCTGGACTTCAATTGGGTAACGATGTCATGTTTGTCAAACAAGGGACTTATGTCAACCCAAAGGATCGTGTCCGGCGCAATGTTCGCGACATGTTTCCCAGAGACAATGACGATGCCATTTCACGTGCCATGAGTGAGCCAGACCTCCATGGACCAGATGTGGACTATTCTGAGATCAGCACTGATTCTGGACACGATTCCCTGTTCAACCGACCCGGTCTTGGCACCATGGTGTTTAGGAGGAACTATGTGAGTGGAGGAATGTTTGACCTTGGAAGTCACAATGCAGCCAGTGTGGCCCGTTCAGGCAATAATGTGCGTTTACGCAGTCGGTTGCAGCAATACCCAAGTCTAGATGAAGACAGCATTGGCAGTGCACGCAGCCTACAGGAGAGAAATGTTGAAGAACTGCCTTGGGAAGAAGTTGAACTAGGGCTGGATGATGATGATGAACCTGATACAAGCCCTTTGGAGGTCTTCCTCGCCACCCAGAGCATGAACGACTTTTTCTCCATCTTCAAAAGGGAGAAGATTGACCTTGCAGCGCTGTTACTGTGCTCCGATCATGACCTTAAGAGCATCCATATACCCTTAGGACCAAGGAAAAAGATCTTAGATGCCTGTAAGAGACGGCGAGAGACTTTAGTTGAGCCTGACTACATCGAGGACACAGAATTGTGAGTGTTGAGATTTTTTGTTTCAATTTTAGCTTTTTTTTTTTTTAAAGGGACAATGCAGTTTAACATAGTTCAGATATGAAACACGATGGAGCATGAAACTGATGTGCTGCACATATAGTGTAGAGCTATTGCTAATTTCTAACTCTATTTGTAGCTATTGCTATTGTTCTAGTACTTTAATAGATCAGCTACTGCATTAGTCTTGATGAATCTTAGATATTTTTTTTCCTCCCTAATGTTTGGTCTTTATTAGTGAAGCACATACCTAGTTGTGACTAAGGTCAGATAACTGCCAGTCAAAAACATCCCATCCTGAAAAAATGCTTGTCTGGTCTGCATTTTGCTATCATCACTAAAACTGATGGAACGGATATAGAAAAAAGTATAGCTGAAATAATCGAAATCAATATTTTAGGGTATTCGGTCACATGCCAGAACACAAAGACAAAACTGTGTTTCTGGACTTTTTTTGTTGTCTTATTATTATAGCTCTTGAGATAATCTTTCATTTTACAAACATTTATTATTTTTCTTTCTTTTCTACAGATAACGAAAGATGTGGTCACCCATCCTGCTGTGTGCTCATCCGGCCTTAAAGGTTAGTGGAGCATTGCAAAGTAAATGTCACATATGGGCTGGATGTTAAACCCAAAAGGACGCTGTCATGATGAATATATCAAGCATGAGATTAGTCCTTAACAGGATTCCTTTACTGTGTCTTTTTAGCTCAGGATGATCACTGAAAATATCTCTGTTTGGTTTATTGGAGTTTCCCGTGCTGCATGGTTTCACAAACTGAAAGACCCTTATCTGAGTGTAGCACTGTGCACATTGTATGCCGTTTGGCACAGTTAACAGAGAGATGATTGTGGGGTCTGTGTCCCCTGAACCTTTTAACCCCCTCGGGGTGAACCTGGACCTCATGTGCCTGCATTGCTTGTGCCTGTGCATTTGCTGAAAAGCGTATGTTGTTAGAAATACACTAGTGTGATTTCAGCTGTAACAGCATTTTTAATAACTATTTGTAACTGAAGTAACATTTACTTGTATTCGTATATTTTGTCTCTGTATATGTTTACATACAGACAGCCACGTCAGGTCTAGAGTAGCCCACTGGTAGTGAAGGCCAATCCTTTGTTGTTATTACACTTGTGATGTAAAATCAAATACCACAGTATTTTTTTAATAAGTGCATACTACACTGTAACATATCACTGTAGAATTAGACTAAAGCGGGATCATGAAATTGTGTTTTTGTTGTTTTTGTTTACTCTGAGTGCTTTATATTAATGTACCTTGGCTCAGTGGCACTTTAATGTTTACCATCTGAACTTTTGTAAACAAATGTAGGTTGAATTTACTCTTATTAAAAATGTTTTTAATGTTGTAATTTGTTTGGGTGTGTGCATGCACTACTTCTTCTTGCAAAATAACATTTCATCTGAACTCAGAGTGACACTGATTGCAGAAAAAACCTCAGTTACATAAAGCAGAGCATTAGCTCTAATGAGGGAGATTGAGTTCATGTGTGATGTCATTTTTCTGGGAATGCCCATTCATTAGTGAGATAGCTTTGACTGATCACTGAACATCCTGCTTTAGTCATCTCCTGTTTACAGTTTGCATTTGAAGCTTCTTCTAAGATAATTGTGTGTGTCTGTATTTGAAAGACGCACTTAAGGTGTTTTCACAGCGGCAGTGCTTAATCCATGTAAATTGAATTCTGGTTCATTCTTCCATTTGGTGCTGTTCATATGTGCAGGTGTGAACACAGTAATCGCACTCATTTGCAGACCAAAACAGACACTGACACTGACCGCATCAAGGCCGCTTTGAAGTAGGTGGTTTCTGTATCGTTCCAAACAAACTCCAGAGCTGTTCATTTATGGTATGAATGTTATTCGACCTCAATATGAACCAGCTACCCAGTGTAAATTACAAGTTTGAGCTAAAAATCATCCAATAGCCATATATACTTTGTATTCTCAGTGCGGCAAAGTACTATAGAAGTGCTAGGATCTGTATGGGCTAGCAACTAGCCATGAGAAGAACATAAATTCTCCATGTTCTCCATTAGTCCAGAACATAGCAAATTGTTCTTGTATCTACTTTTGTTGCATCTGGACAATAAGTAAACCAAACAAACTGACACAATTTAATTTGCTTGGAGTTGACTTAGATTTTTCTCTGTGTGAAAAAATAAACCAAACAACAGGAAAAAGCTACAAGTTTACAAACACATCAACTGATTCTGACCAGAGTTAACGAAGTATAGGTGTGAAAACGCCATTGTTGTATCACCATAGTGATAGTACACGATCGCTGTTCCCGAATGTCATTGTTCCGTCTGTGCTACATTTCAGGAAATGAGGAAGTTGTCTCAGTGGGTAAAACTAATTTTAAAAATGGCTCAAATGTCATCTGTAAATGATATTGGTGTATGATAATATTAGTTTTACTGAAATTTAATTAAATTGTTGTGTTTTAGCAACAAACTATGTCAGTTATGGAGTCTGTAATTGAGAACTAGGGAGGATGTTCAGTCCCTAGGCTCAAAAGCAGGCTCAAAGATCAGATGGATCAAGTTTCGAAGAACAACACACGGCAACTCTTAGCGGTAATACAGTGGAGAGTTTGAAGGGCAATAAACACAAAGTCAACATCAAAAACAAACTGAAAGATTGCACAGTTGAGATGTCCAACATGCTTCTGCTACAAGACATGGTATGTGATTCCTGCATTGACAGCCCGAGTAAAGCCCTAAAATTCTGCCTGACTTGCCCTATTCCCTACTGTGAGAGCCATCTCAGAGCAGGAAAAAGCCAAATTTCAAAACCATCACTTAGTGGATCCACTCCATGACATTTCATTTTGAGGTTCATAAGCTTCCTCTCAACTCTTTCTTCCCGATGGAGGACTGATTCAATTGTCTGGACTGCGAGAAAGAGAAGCACGAATTAAGGTCTCAAAGATACAACACAATATAATTTATTTACAGGGTAAAATGTTCCTAAAATGTTCCTAAAAAAGGAGTAAAAATCATTTGGATTACAATGGTTTTGCAATCTTTTACTTACAATCTGGGGCTCATTTAGTTAGTAGATGTAGCATGTGGGGTTTTTTGTGCTGTTTTTTTTTTTTTTTTTTTTTTTGTAGACTGAGAGTGCCTCATGAGTTGATAGGCAGTTGAAACACTGCAGAGCATGGATTGCATGATTTATTCATTCATCTAGTTGCATTATGATTTTGTCCAGTTTCAGTTTCCATCAGGTTTGTGCTATCATTGAACAGTAGTTCCCTAGGCTGCAGAGAGCTGTGGAGAAGGCCAGAAAAGGGGCAGTGGAAGTGCCTTAAGGAGAACAAAAAACAGGCCCTCAGACAGACTGAAGGCATTCAAGCACACCTGGAGCAAAAGAGAGCATAGGTGATGAGAACATTGGCTGAAATAAACAAAGTGTCCAGGAGAAAGTCTGATATTGACTCCCTACAGGTAGAAAACATATGAAACATTCCAGTTATTGTATTATAAGTAGAGGAATTACATATAGTCAAATGGGTGTGAAACCTTTTTGGCATCACAGCCTATTGTAATAGTGTGGCATTTTAAGACAAAGGCTTTATTTTGGAAACGAATGTGTTGACAGTATACAAAGAGCAGGAATTTCAACTTTTGGGATATTTATACAGAAGAAGTACAATGTTTCTTTTGATGTTGTTTTTTTTTTGATAAACCAAAGAAATTTCACATCATGGCATTTTTCAACAATGACAGAAGTGTGGAGGGGAAAAAAACCTGCAGAACCGCACATAGGTCAGCAATCTACCTTAACTAACTATGGTGAGGTAAAAGCAAAGAGAGAGAGAAAAAAAGCAATGACAATAAACAATGCATCGGTTACCTGATATATCTTTCTTTTGTTTGTGTACACGTGTCTTCTGCTTGCCCTCTTCTCTCTATGTAAGCTGCGGGTTTCTCTGATTCCAGACCTGCATGTTCCTGATCTGCAGTGACTGCCCACACCAACCTGCCAAGTCATAATTCTTACATGGTTTGTTGCCTCTCTTTGATCTTTTCTCTTTACTATCCCATCACCTAAAGCAGTCAAAGCAGAAGGTGACCCTCCTGACCCTGGTTTGTACAGAAGATTCTTCTGTATAAGCATTTTTGGTTTGTTTTTTGTTCCCACTGCCACTCACAATCAAATTGCTATTTTCTTTTTATGAAAATAACAATTTCCATAAAGGTCTTACCTTGCAATTTAAAGTCCTTTCATATTCAAATATAATTAAATTAAATTAAATTGGCTTGTTACAAGGGTACTCAGAGTGGAAAAAAGGAATGACCGCTGTATGTCCACCCAATGTGAACATGAACTGCATGGATCATCTAATCTTTTATACCCAAATAGTAACTGATATTACACAGGAACTGTACAACCTGATTTTTTCCTCCTGCAGTGGAAAGCTGAGCATGATTTGCAAAAGTGGTGAGTTTCACTCACAACATGGGTTTTGTTCCACACCTCATATTTGGTTATTTGAGCCTCGGTGAAAGTCAAGATATAAACCAATCCTGGTAATATCAGTTGTTTCCAAGGTGGTTCCACGCCTAATACTGGAGAAGGCCTCATACGAATTGTTCAGTGTATCTTACAGCATGTTTTTTTTTTTTTTTACATTCATGACACTAGGGATGACACTTGGTGTGTATCAGTGTCTGCTGTCTCTACAGTGTCTGATCCAGACTATGATGACTACTTTGATAATGAATGTATTCAGCAACACTGCAAGTTTCATATTTTTCCCTTTGAATGAAAAGTCTTACATCGCAGGCGTTCGTGTTTTTCTTAGGGTGACGTTAATGACCCATTTTTTTTTCTTTATTTTTCGACATCATGCTTGGAAAATGTAAACTAAAGTGGTTTATTGTTTCTGGATTAAGCATAAAACAAACACAGTTTACTTTGTGTTGTGTGCAAATTTTGCATGCTAACATTAGCATTTAGCTCAGAGCACTGCTGTAGTACTGCCACACAGAGCTGAAATTCAATATAGTGTAAACAATCATGAGAAAAACCTCTATATCAAATTAATGGAAATCATCCGTGCCAGTCCCTCATCTTTCTACCCTGCCTAACCCTGACACCAGAGAGGACTTCTTAAAATGCAAATAACTAGGGATGCACCGATACCGATACTGGTATCGGGTATCGGGGCCGATACTGTAAAATGTGTGTGTACTCATACTCGTAAAAGTTAACCGATACCATGAACCGATACCAACTTATTTCATTAATCAGAGGGTGGCTTGTCATTTCTGTTGTAGTTTTTTAGATTGGCCACTAGGGGGCTAATTATTATTTTATTTATTATTTATTTTATAATTTTTTATATTTTATTATTTATTTAATAATAATTATTTTGTTTGTTTACAATATGGACACTCTGCAATAATTTAAAAGTTTATTTTATTCGCAAACCTAATTTGTATTTATTTTATTCCAAACAAAAGTGTTTATTTATTATTCTGAAAGCTCGAGACAGTGCCAATAGTTCAGTGATATTTTGTAAAATTACAATGTGGAGACTCTGCAATAATTTAACAGAAGTGCTTATTTTTCACTTGAAATTTTTTTGTGGTCGTTTTTATTAAAATTTTATTTTTTACCGGCAGGGAATATAATAAAACCTGTCTTCCAATGAATTGTGTGTGTGTGTGTGTGTGTGTGTGTGTGGTAGAAGTATCGTTTTTTGTACTCTGTATCAGCAAGTACTCAGATCCAAGTATCAGTATCGTATCGGTTTGAAAAAATTGGTATCGTTGCATCCCTACAAATAACCCTTCAATACATCACCCACCCACCGCTTGTCATATCTTATTTTTATTTCCACATTGTCTATTTCCCCCTTTTTTTTTAAGACTCCAGAAGTTTGACCTTTGACCGAGACACCTGACCAACATCAGCCCATGGCAGCACAGATACCCGGAACATCCCGACTTTGAATACTCATGAATTTACAGAGCCTTTACTTGGGAAGACACTATATTGAAGCAGAGCTGAGTGAGAAAGGTTGCCGCACGCAAGAGTATCAATCGAAAGGGAGAGTAAAGTAGCAGCTGCATCACCGGGAACAATTTTTCCTGGTGCGTGGGAAAGAACAGGGGAAGTTTTTCTGCCTGGCATACTGGTGTGGAGCCCATCTTGGAAACTACTGATATTAGCATGATTGGTTTATATGTTGCCTATCACCAAGGCTCAGTTTCATTTCATAATGTTACTGGTCCTGTCAAGCTGCTCCATAAATACATGGCCGACTTCACTGAACCTTTGCTCTGGTCAATGCAGAATGATGTATATGCTAACAGATTATGAGCTGCCTCCACTGTGAGCTTGTAAAAGAAAAGAAATGGTCTATTATGACTATTTATTTATGTTACATAACAAGCTTTGTAAAGATATTGTATAAAGAACTTTTTCACCCCCACATAGATAACATAGAAGGTTAAATTGAATAGTGGTGGTAAATGTGCAACATGGAGAAAACTATGCAGCACATGAAGTGTTAAGGATTTACTGCAGCTTTTTGAAACTTTATTGCTCTTAAATGTGATGCGAATGAAGAGGAAAACACACAATTGTCTGCCAGAAATTATTTTATTTGCGTTACAGATTTATTTGATTATTCGAAGATTTAGTGCCTGTCGCCTAGGTTATTTGCATTGTTCAGTGGTGGTAAAACTGTATACAACTATATACTTTAATTTGTGGGATTTAAAATCATTCAATTTGAAACAAAAGTACCGTCATTAAATGCTAACATATGTTCATCTTTAGGCAGTGAAATCTGTTTCACTCTCATCATAAACTGGGTTTACAAAGTGCACAGCTGTCTGAGTCATGGAGATTGAATTACTAACTCCAGTCCCATATAGACTAGGAATGTCAGGCATCATAGTGGGCTGGTCAAACATAGGATTATCAAACCCATGGTCGAGAGGTCCACCGAGATCTGGCATGTTATTGCTATTTTTGAATCTGTTCAGTGTTGGCATTTGAACAACCCCCTTATGAACCAAGACACCCAAGATAATGAGTGTAATCAGCAGTAAAACTCCAAAAACAACTCCAACTGCCAACCCTGCACTATCTCCAGTTTCCTCAGAAGAGGTCTGAACTTCAACTCCGGAGATTCCCAAATTAGAGCCATGAGAACGAGCATCCTTCATTATGTCCTGGGCCAAAGCTGCTGACTGTATTCCCTGCTCTCCATCCAGTATTACTATCTGGATTTCAGATAACGTTCCAAGACTGATTATCCCCATCAGCCGCTGTGGCTTTAAGACTTTGGACATCCCCATCTGAATGGACTGGTATTGTGGCAGGGCAAGAAAAAGGTGACGGATTCGTTCCCTGTAAGTCTGAAGGTTAAAACCGTCATCAAAAAGGAGGGTAACAATGGCACCACACACATCACAACAGTGTCCTGTTGGGCGAAGAGGGTTCTTACAGTCTGGAGAGTCACACGTTACCGTGCTACAGATCTGCTGATGGTGTACAGAATTCCCACAGTCACAACCAGAGGGATCATCACAGGCTGGGTTTCCGACAGCAACAGCAGAGGATCCATGAAACTGCAGTTTGCCCAAACTTGAGCTGAGATACTGGGAGAACTCAGACTGGGTAGCAAATGTATTCCCCAGCACAGACACAGATTTGACAGTGATGCTAGAATGACTAGAGCTGGTGTCCACTCTGAAGGAGGAGAGGGCTTTAAAAACAACATCATCGCAATGGCAGGGGACGCTCTCCTCGTGGACAGAGAATAGGAAGTTTCCTTGCTCTAGGTCATTCAGAGTTGCAGCAGCCTGCCATAGAGTTGGATCGTACCACTGAAATGACTCTGAATCTTTAAACTCAGTCGTGACACCCGTTCCACAGCCTGGGTCCTGCCCGGTGACAGCATAAAATCCAGCTCCTGAATTCAGGATGAACTCCCCATCAACTGGCAACCTCATCTCCAGCACAGCATGAGTGGTCTCCACAAACACAGACACTTTTCTTTGAGCCGAAAACTGAACTATGTCATTGCCACAAGGAATATCGCCTTTGTCCCAGTTGGTCTTATTCTCATAGTTTGTATCAGGAATCCACTGTTTATATAGGGCATTTGCTACCCCAACGAGACAGAAGAGCAAGAGCATGTCTGGTATTTTCAGCATCCTGGGTAATTGTGACAGCCTAAAAGAATATTGCGTGACCTTTGTTTCAAATCTTGTGACTAACACGAGTGCACACAGCTTACTAAGGGCACTAAACCAAATCAGCCTGCTCAAGCAGGTAAAACATTTACATTTTCTGCTACAAGGACCGGTTTTATTGATAATACCAAAACATCCTTACCACTGCATTTTCCCTTCAATGCATTTCTGCTTAGAACTAAAGTAGAAATGAATTCTTTAGGTTTATATTGCTGCTATTGCCACTGACACTGCTATTTGTATACTCACTGAATTACATTATTAAATGTGGTGATAATTCTGCTTCGTCATTAATGCTAATTCTCTGATCGATGCAATAATTTAGCTTCTGGTCTAAATTATTATTTATATATATGTATACATATATATATGCGTGTGTGTATGTGTGTGTGTGTCTGGTAAGGTTCTCAGTCAAATGTTCAAACATAATTAATTTGACTGCTACCAGCATCAGATACGCACCTTAACGATTAACCATCATCGAATTCATTTTCAGTGAGTAATGAGCATTTATATGCACATAAATCCATTCAGATGCTTAATATGAATGCATCAAAGTCCATATCATTTCAAGTTTACTTCTTGAATTTTCAAATGTCTAAGGTCAACCGGACTACACTTTCAGTCCGCACGACCAAAATAGCTCCTTCTGGGAAGCTGCGAGAATCTGCATAGTAAACACACAGACTCAAGTACCCGTCGCACTTGGATTTCCCTTCAGGCAGTTCCTGACGTGCGCCAGTGTCACGAGCTAGTAGAGTTAGTTGTTTATGGAATAACGACCAAATACGAAACAGGACCTGACCAGCACAAGTGACGATTGAGGAAAAAACACCAAAATATGTGGTGTAAGTCTCCTTTGGGTGCGGTGAGAGATTAAACAATCAGCCAAAACTAATTGCACCTGTTTTTAGTCGTTTACGTGAGCACTGCGGAGGCTTTCTGTGCAATCTGACCTGCGCAGACTAGAGCGCTGATCCACTTAGGCTATGCCATGTTTTCCAACTCAGTGTTCAGTTTAGATAAACTTTAACCCGAAAGCAACATACACCCTCTGGCATCTTGACACTAGTTTGAAAGTCCAACACGAACGCTGTAGATCAGTTTTCAAAGATTCGCTTTTCTTTCTGTCTGTCTGTCTGTCTGTCTCTCTCTCTCTCTCTCTCTTTTTTTTTTTTTTTTTTTTTTGGACAATCACATTTAAAATAGTGGTGGATGTAAATAATATAAATCCTGTAGCTAAAGGTGAAATATCATTGTTTTCCATAATAAAAGACTGGTGTGGTGTTTTAGTACTCTTGAGTGCGCTTTTATAGTCCTTCCCCACTTATTTTCTTTAGTAGGCTCATAATAAAATCTTGTATTTCTCAGCAGTTAACCTGTAAAGATATGGGATCATTATAACTTCACTTAAGCTAAAGCACATGATCTTTTGTAGGAAAATGCCAAACGTTGTTATGACGGCTCATCCATCAAATGGTGGAACTGTGACACAAGTGGACAGCATCCAGCATTTGCCCAGTCCTCCCCATCCTCCCACTGTGCATGGTGCTAGTGAAAGTGGACACCATGTGGAAGTAGTTAAAGAAAGGACCCCCCAAGGTGGTGAATGGCTCCTGTCTGGGATAATTTGCATCAACATCCTGATGCTTGGCTGTGCTCTGGTCAGCAGCAGCGCCTTCAATGTTGTCGCCATAACACCAGTGCACCGGCAAATCTTCCTCATCACCCTCCTCGTCCTTACTATGTTGTGGATGCTGTTTTACATGGTCGTCACCTCCCGAGAGGATCGTGCAGTCTTATTTAAAGATCGCCATGCTGGGCCCGTGTGGCTCAAGGGTGAGAAGTCCGAGCAGTGCTTTCTGGCTCTGTTTCTGATTGCTCATTTAATTTTTTTTTTTATATATATATATGTTGCAGCTGGGCTTGTGCTGTTCGGCCTCCTTAGTTTCCTCATGGACATCTTCAAGATTGCCACTTATGTGGGCTACCTTCACTGTGATTCTCCTGTTAAAGTAGCCTACCCCATTGTGCAAGCTGTGTTTTTATTTTTCCAGGTTGTTGCATGTTATGAAAATTGTAAGAATATACGCGCTCTTGCATGCTGCATTGGTAAAACTTTTAAAAGTTGTCTCTTTTAGACCTACTTCCTGTGGTTTCATTCAAGGGACTGCGTGCAGCTACACACCAACTTAACACGGTAGATTCTTTTATACATTTCATCTCCTCCGTTCATTCATTTCAGAGTATATAACATTCCTTATCTTTTTTCCCTCTTCAGATGTGGGCTTACTCTTACACTTTCAACTAACCTGGTGGTGTGGATGGCAGCAGTGACTGAGGAGTCGATTCAGAGGTATGATTCATGTACAGAGGTATTGAGCTGTAGCTTCCTGTTTTTAGATGAAGGTCAGTGTTTACGAGGAAAATAACTGATGGTTGCTCTTTCTGTTCCAGCCAACTACGGTGCCAAGAAGTGCACATGCAGTCATATGGCATGTGAGACCTTCAAAGAGGCCTTCTACTACCTGTACCCCTTCAACATAGAATACAGCCTCTTTGCTTCTGCCATGACCTACATAATGTGGAAAAACGTGGGCAGAATTGTTGACCATCACAAGCACCACAAATTTAACTTCTATGTGAAAGATGTTTTCGTAGGGCCTGTAGCAGGACTGCTCCTGGTGGTGGCAGGACTTGTTATATTTGTACTGTACAAGATTAACATACTCAAAGAAGACAAGGAGAAAAGAAATAAGGCCCTGCTGATTCATTTCATTATGAACATAGTGATTGTTAGCTTGATGTCCCTCTCCACTATGATTGGCTGCATTATTTACAGACTGGACCGCAGGGAATATGTATCAGACAAAAACCCCACTCGCAGCCTGGACGTGGGGCTACTGGTGGCATCGTCTTTGGGGCAATTCATCATTAGCTATTTCAGCCTTGTGGCTACAGTGGCGACGGGAGCCCAGGGTTACCTAAATGTGCTCAACCTGGCCTGGGCTGTGGTATTGGTGGTTGAGATTGGCCTGCAGAACTATTTCATCATTGAAGGCCTCCATCGGCAGCCCATCAATGTAATGCAGGCAAATGCCCGTGCTTTTCAAGACCACACCGAAATGGCCAATGACGTGGAGGGTCAAATATCAAGATACTCAATTTCTAAAAAGCCAAGTTGGAAAAGGAGAGTTCTGAGGGAAGTGTGTGCCTTTTTGCTCCTGGCAAACATAATTGTAAGTTGTATTTGTGTTTATTGGACTATCTACAGTTGTAACAACCAGTGTTTCCTGTCAAAATGTGTCTAATTCCCTTTTTCTATATTGACAGCTATGGATCATGCCTGCATTTGGGGCTCGTCCCCAGTTCGACCACTCCGCTGAGATATACTTTTACAATTACACAATGTGGAACGCAATTGTGAATATTGGACTTCCTTTTGGAATCTTCTATCGCATGCACGCTGTGGCCAGTCTCTTTGAAGTTTATCTAAGAGATTGACTAATCTCGTAGCTAGACTCATTCTTTTGATATAGGTGTATAAAAAGTGAACAATTTTATGTATTAAAACATTTAACATGTTATTTAACTACCTTTAATAAATAAATTTAAAAAATGTCTTCGTGTTTTCAGTTTTCCCTGTAGAAGGATTCAGTGCAGGGATTTGATATGTGGCCTTGCAAATTTGTTCATATATCAAACCTTTTGCAGATTAAGTGACGAACAGGAGCATGATGCCACCTAGTGGTTAACATGTGAAGGTGGCGCTTTTACAGATGGCAGAATTGGACTTTGTGTTCAGAACTACTGCTACTCTTTATGAACCGTTTACACACCTGAAATTTCAGATTTTGCTTTACAGCACTGTCATACATAATGTGACCAATGCAGAATTTGCAGATACATATTATATATTAGATTTTTTTTTTTTCAGGACACTTTAAGGAAAATACAATTTCAGCATAGAACATTATAAGCATTTCTCAAAAATGAAACCTTGTCATACACATAAAAACATACAATCTGTCTCAAAATATAATCACATAAACTTCAACCACAAACGACAACTCAAAAAGGTGCAAGTTCACTTTAAAGCATTTCAAGTACAACAAATAATATCGGAATGATAACGTTGAGCTATACAGGATATGTTACACGTCTTTGAAAGTTAAACAATGTTCCCTCTTTCACTTTTATACTGCTAAAATTTGCCTCAGCCCTTAACAAACACTCCAGTCATCTCAGTGCTTTGACAAACATTCTGCGGTCTTAAGGTTTGAAGAAATGTACAAACACAGTTGTTTATGGACACTAGTGATAATTCAAACACTTTCTATCTTAATATAGAGAGAAATTTCTACTCCACTCATCTGAATGACTCCCCTGTCTAGTTTGGTGGTGTCAGAAGCAAGCAACAGGTTCACAAGGATAGTTTCAACACAATGAGGTTTCCCACAAAACCAGCAGATACTGAAGGGAAGAAGAACCCTAGATTCATTTTCATTGACAGTCTACATCCTCTGGATCTCAAATAGTCGGACGTCAGTGTCATACCAGATCGGAGGATCAACATTGCTGAAACAGAAAATAAGGAAAAAATGGATTTGTTTTAATTTGCTTTTGAGGATATCAGTGTCCATAATTCTCGTCTAAAATGCCTAACTCACCGCAAATAAACGACGCCCCACATGTAGGTGCGAAACCACATGGCAGTGCCTGCATTGGCCTGATATTTCCTAATGAGGATGGGGTGAGGAACCGGCAGCAGGCCCACTAATGTGCCATGCTGTAGAAACTTTAGGATCTCTGATTCATCTGTTAGACCCCTGCAATGAAAGACACAGTAGACATTTACAGCATTTTTAGTAATATATCAAAACAGTTAGAATATGCTTTTTGCAGTCCGATCAAAGCTAAGCGAAGTGTTTGCATACTTGTCGATGCAGATTTTCTCCACCTGAGGCACCAACACCTGTAGAAGTCTCATGATGGTCTGCAGGGGTAGCTTACATTTCCAAGAGAGGACCTGGGATAAAAGCAAATCTAAATTGACTTCTCATTCCTCTAAATATCCAACATCTAACAAAAACTGAATGAGAGGCTGAGAGCAAACCCATTCTGGTGTGGGAGCCCAAAAGGACGTTGACGATGCACTTGACAAACGTCTTCTCTCCATTTCTGCTTCAGTGTAGAAAACATCCTAATAGTGTGAATAAATGCATTTAGAAATATCCTCTTTCCACTGGAGCAAACCAATACACCCCATAAAAAGGCACTTACTTCATTGTCCCTGCCTGAGTTAGACTCCGTGTCGCTGGTCCCAGTGACTGCACTTTGGTCTGGGTGGACAGTGTTTGGGGAGTCTGTCTTTGGAACTGACACCATGGTGCCATCCTCTGATACTTGGGACTTCTCTGTCAGTTTATCAATGCCTACAGGAAACCGGCATCATAAATCACATGACATTAGTGAATACGTTACAGATGTGTCTGGCGACATTATTTTACTTTTATAGTCTTACCAAAAAATAAAATGCAACACCAACTAATTTTGTGTTGTAACTAAAAAATGCATAGAGACTAAATTAAAGACATATGAATTCAATCTGCTAGTTCTAAGGCAGTCATTTTCATGTGCATGATGTGCATATGTACATG